CGATCAATGGCACACGGCCTGGCTGACCAGCACTTCCGGTCTTATGAAGAAGTAAAAAATTGGATCGATTAGTGGATCACCTCAAAAGATGACTAGTTTTTTCGACGCGGGATTCGTACGCTTCCCAAAAGATGGAAGAAAGTAGTGGCGATGGACAATACTTTGAATCATAAATGTATAACCAGTTTTTTACAATAAAGCCTCGAATTTCGGAAAAAAAAACGGCGGAAGCAAAGTAGTACACCTAATATATTGCCTTTTTTTCTCTTGCTTTTAATATTAAAAAGGAGATTATCAGAGAAAGGCTTATTGATATTTATTATAACTTGTATATATAGAGTTAGATTTGATTTTTCTAATATTTATATAATGATATAAAATATTATTTTTAAAGGGGCCGGTTATCGTATAGTAGGATGCTCCAGTGATATCGAGCTCATTTTCGTACACAAGTTACACCATAATCCAATATTAAATTATCTATTATGTCAATTTCTGTAACTGCGTAGCTTCGGAGTTATGTCGTCAAGCTCAAAACTCAAAAAGAATTTTTGGCTTCGAAACGAGAAGAGCTATGGCTTTGAGAAAAGTAAATTACGTTAAAGAAAATAAAATACCATAAGAAGATTCAAGCAAGTATGATTTCATTTGATACGGACACTTATAGGATGTCCAAAAGAAACTTTTCAATTTTTGAAACGCGATTCTTTCTACTTTCTGTAGAGTCACTATCATATTTCATATGCAACATCACTATATACTCATGTATAACATTTATTTTAACAAAGATAATGTTGATTGTACAACATAGTTAAAAACGCAAAAAATTAAACAATTTATTTTTAAAAGAAGCGAATATTATTTTGGGAAACTTACATTTTTGATGTATCGTAAAACTGTTTCTAAATAATACTTCTCATATTCTCGATATTATGTCCGCGCTGTCTATGACCAAAATCCGATCTTCGGTAAAAAACGATTATTAACAGAAAGATATTTTGGTACAGTTGTTCAAATAACATTGGTTTTATTGCATATGCATTAATTGATCTTGGGAATCAGTACGCAATAAACGAATGTCACAAGAATTCCTGTTTTTCAAAATCTAAGCTATCTCAAACGAGAAATTAAAAAAAAATTGTACCGATCAAGTTGAAAGGAATAAATATAATAAAAAATTTTACCTAACTGATTTAAATAAAATTGCAGTTGGCAACCATGATCAAAAAAGAGGACAAAGCTCAATTATCGTCACTGTATGGATTTATCGTCGAAGCAATCTGGTCTTCATCAAAAATAGAAAAGTAGTAGGTCTCAAAATTTTTGACTGATATCTTGCAAACGTTAGATTTAATATGTCACATGTGAACAGGATTCGATTGCTCTTAGCCCATTTGCGTATTTGCAAATATAACGTTATCTAAATATTTTTCCATCAAATACCACAGGACGAATCAATCTAATGACACAGCAACCTATTGAAAGAAAGGAAGAAAAAAGTTAAATTATGATAAAATATTGTACGTAATGTTTTATACTATAAAGCACAATATGCATTAAAAACAATATTTTATACTAATAGAGGTATGTCAAATCCATTGGTAAAATAATATCATAAGAAGGTTGATGAGACAAATTTTTGTTTAAACATTTCTCTGTTTTTTAGAAAAAGTATATTTACAGAACAGAAATATATTTACGGAACAGAATATCAGAACAATTCTCAGTTACAATATCTGATGGTATGTTAAAAATGAAAATATGGGTACATTAAATATATAAAATAAAAATTGGTATTAAAATTATTTAACCAAGTAAGTAAATTTTAGAAGAAGAAAGTCAGTACTTTTCGATAAAATTTTCAAGTATAGCATTCCCTTCAATACTACGACTTGTGTCTGCATTGTGCGAGTGCTTGTATACTGCAAACGGAAGATCAAAATGTAAAATTAAACGGAATTTTAAAATATAATTGATAACTGAATTTCTCAAAACTTAATTTAAATATTCATATAAAATAGAATTATTACTTTGATAACATTAATTAATTAATTAATATATATGCACCACCTTATTTATATAAGTAAATAGTATATATTTTTACGTAAGTATATTTAATATCAACTATTTATTATTAATTTATTATATATATGTGTCGTACGGATGATAGCTGAATAATTGCC